AGTTCCATCATACTGCCAGTGCTGCGCGACTTCTTGTCCTGGACACTTGCGGCACTTCAAGTATGCCACCTGGCATGGGAATGATTGAGTTGACCCCAGGTCTGTCACAGACAACCATGATGGCATCGGGCGGCTTTTACCGGATCTGTTGGTGTGGCCACTGGGATGGCTCCAGCTCAAGCAACATCTCATATTGTGAAGACGGAACAGATTTCAGGGTAGATGTTGGCACTCTGATGCTGGTGGGCCCCACGCCACTGAATCAAGCATGGACTTGCATCAGTGGCACGACATGCCTGCTGAATGATATCAGTGGCAATCATTTGTCCATCTACGACCACTACCTGGTCCTGCACACTTGTGGAGTCCAGGATGTTGCGAGCAGATTTCCTGAGGAGGGCAGCCTCTTCCAGGTTTCAGGACAATGTGGTTGCACGTCGCCCCTCTGTAGCTCCTACCCACCGGGCACAAACCAATCTCTTTGCGCAGCCTGTGGCGACTTCTGCCCCATGGATGAGAAAACAGATCCAGGCATATGTGGTTGCGGCACGCCAGAGGTGGACTCAGATGGCGATGGCACACCCGACTGTGTAGACCAGTGTCCCCTGAACCCAGGCAAAACGGCACCCGGCATTTGTGGTTGTGGGAGCCTTGATTCGGATAGCGATCTTGATGGCATCCCGGATTGCAATGACCAATGTTCCGGACCAGATTTCACAGGTGGCTCCTGCTGCGTTGTAGTTGACTCTGATGCGGATGGGCTGCCTGACTGCCTGGACCAGTGTCCGCACGATGCCAGCAAAGTGCTTGCTGGAGTTTGCGGCTGCCATGTTTCAGACGTTGACAGCGACATGGACGGCGTGCTGGACTGCCTGGATTTGTGCCCGCATGATCCTGCCAAAACTTTCCCCGGAAGCTGTGGATGCGGAATTTCCGAAGCTGATGCGGATGGTGACTCCGTGCCGGACTGCATCGATGTTTGCCCGAACAGTGGCGACTTCACCTTTCAAGGTGTCCAGGCAAGTTTCGGACACGTGTCTGTGACTGCAGCTGCGGGTACCTACCGCCTTTGTTGGTGTCATTCGGGAGCAAGCTGTGGATCTCGAGCGGATTTCATTGTAGATGTTGGATCCTTGCAGCTATTGGGAATCCAAGACATACGCAGCAGCCGAACATGCGTAAGTGGGCAACCCTGCTTTATTCGCCGCTTGATGGACAGCAGTGAATCTGGAATAAGTCTTCACCCTATGATTGCAAATTTCTCTGCAACCCCAATGTTGGTATTGGACACGTGTGGGGTGCTGCCTGTCGCTGGCAACCAATCCCTGGAAGACGGCTCTGATTTCATATCGCCGCAAGTTGCACTAAACGCGCAGCGAACATCAGGGTGGCTGGCTGGACAGTTAACCTCAGCTGGTGGGCTCTACCGGCTTTGCTGGTGCTCAAATGCCGGCAGATGCAGCCTTGTGCCAGACTTTCACACTGATGTTGGTGAACTCATGCTACTTGGGCCTTTCCCGCTCTCCCAGCAAGTCACATGCATAGCTGGCTTGACCTGTCGAATTGACGGCATACAGGGGCTGGGCATCCCGCAGGCGGATCTGGTTCGAGTTCTCGACACCTGTGGTCATGCCAGCGGACAAGCCTTGACAGTTCCAACTTTCAATGCAAGTCTGGGGATGGCTGTGGATGCTGTAAGTACGGTTGCAACGCAGACCTTCGCAGGCGGATCCTACCGTCTTTGTTGGTGCGCGGCCGGTTTTCAATGCAGCCTACACCATGATTACCGGGTTGACTTCGGTGTGTTTTCTCACGTTGGTCCATCTCCCTTGGCATCGCAGGATCGGACATGTGTGACGGGACAGGCTTGCATCATCGAGCGCATTGAAGGTCACCTGCTATCGACCGATGATGCGTATTGGATCCTGGAAACTTGTGGCACTCAAGCCCCCTCCAGATTGGTTGGGCAAGGGCAAGCAATCCCGCAGAACGATTCCATGTCAATAAGCTGGGGAGATGCTGCACACACTGCGGTTGGTGGCCAATATCGCCTTTGCTGGTGTTCAGCATTTGCCAAATGCGACGTGGCTCAGAATTTTGTGGTTGACGTGGGTGGTCTGTTGTTGATCGGCCCCATTCCACAAGACAGGACTTGCATCAGTGGCCAGACTTGCTTCATGAAAGCTTTACCAGGATACCATTTGCAGGCAGACGACCGTCTGCTGGTGCTGGATACCTGTGGAAGGCCTTCTCCAGTCGTGGGCTTTCCCCTGCTGCAATCCCAAGTCTTCCCAAACTCATCAACCGTTTCAGGCTTCGTAGCTGGCAGTGTGCTTGGGTTTGTCACGTCCGCTGGAGGAAGCTACCAGCTGTGCTGGTGTGCGGCATCTGCTTTCCACTGCAGTTTGGCAGAATCTTTTCAAGTCAACGCCGGGTCACTCACATTGATTGGGCCCAGCACAGACGCGAATCGTGCTGTAAGCAGGCTGCGAATTTGCATTGCCGGAAGCATTTGTACTGTTCAAAGCCTTCCTGGACAAGATCTGCAGGAGGACGATCAGCTCATGCTCTTGGAGACATGCGGCTTGCAAGGTCCCAGCCAGGGCCAGATGCCTATGCCCAGTTTGCAGGCCAATGGCACCGGCCTAGCGTTACTGTCCAACAATGTTACCGTTTGGTCCGCGGCAGGTGGAACGTATCGACTTTGCTGGTGTGCTTCCGGTCATAGCTGCAAGAGCGCATCAGATTTCAGGGTGGATGTTGGTCAGCTTGATGTCGTCGGGCCCTCAAGCGTGACCTCCCCTTTCCGCTGGAAACCGGGATATTGCCAGAGTGCAAACGCTTCTGTACTTGCCTTCTCCTATGTTGAAAGCATGGAGGCGTGTTGGCTACGTTGCAGCTCTAGCAGCTCAAACGCAAGTGGACTCTCTTGTGGCGCTGCAGAGTATACTCCCGAGTCTGGATTCTGCAGGCTGTGGGATGGCTGCAGTATTGTTTCAAGCCAGGCCTCCCAGACCTTAGTTCTTTCAGCGCAGGAGAAGTGGAAGGCTGGTCAGGACAGGACCTGTGTGACTGGACACCCATGCACGGTAGACGACGTTCTGGGGCACCTGCTTACAGAGGGTGACGCCTATGCCGTGTTGGAGAGCTGTGGTAGCACCCTTGCCTGGAGCTACACAGCGCAGAGTGTTTCTGGGCGTGGTGGCTACGCGAATCCATGTCACTGTGCAGAGTCTATGAATGACACAGATGGCGATGGTGCCATCGACTGTATTGACGAGTGCCCACTGGATCCAGGTAAAATAGAGGTTGGAATATGCGGTTGCGGACAAGCGGACGCGGACAGCGATGCAGACGGTGTCCCAGACTGCCAGGACAGATGTGATCTCCAAGCCGAGAAGACATTACCAGGTATTTGTGGCTGCTCAGTACTGGATACCGACACCGATGCAGACGGGGTTCCTGACTGCAACGATCGATGTCCCAGCTTGCCTGACAACTCTGCAGGGACGGCTGGCTGTCCTGCTGCAGCTGCAGACTTGGATGGTGATGGTGTGCCAGATTTCCTGGATGAGTGCCCTGGAGATTCTACCAAGACTTCAGCAGGCGCATGTGGGTGTGGAGAGAGTGATGCAGATACCGACAACGACGGCCTGCCAGACTGCATTGATCTATGTCCCAATGATGCCTTCAAAATTGTTCCAGGAGCGTGTGGTTGTGGGATTCCAGACCTGGACCGCGATGGGGACGGCACGCCTGACTGCCACGACAAGTGTCCATCATTTGATGCAGTTTTTGGTGCCGTTTCTGTAGAGTTTGGCATGCTGCCAGCTGGGCAGTATCGTCTCTGCTGGTGTTCACGTTCAATCAAGTCCTGTGCGGCCTCTCAGGAATTCAACGTGGATCTTGGGGGTCTCAGCATATTTGGGCCACAGATTCAAGATCGAACCTGTATCAGTGGCCAGCCTTGCCGATTTGGCGACTTGGCAGGTGACAGCCTTGATGATGCTGACCGTTTGCTTATTCTCGATACCTGCGGCTCCTCTACAGCTCTCATTCCTCGCTGGTCACAATCCGTGGCGCTGCCGCTTCTTTCCAGTGGCTCCGCTGCTGCATGGTCCTCCTTACCAACAGCTGCAGGTGGGTTGTATCGCTTGTGTTGGTGCACTGTCCGTCCATGGCAGGCAGAGCCAGTGGCCCTCTGCGATCAGGCAGATCGCTTTACAGTTGACATCGGCGGATTGACCCTCCTCGGCCCATCTCCGCTTCATCAGGCATACACTTGCGTGTCAGGGCAGCCATGCGGTCTTCATGGACTCACCGGTCTGCATCTGACACCCGGCGATACCATTATGATACTCGACACCTGTGGCAACACCAATTTCGCTTCCTCCCTCCTTGCCGCAGCTGGATGGGACGGGCTATTCTTCCGATTTGCAGATGCTGCAGAGGCAAGTAGCCAGTTGCAGGTCGCAAACACAACGCAGGTGCCATTGTTAGAGGTGGCAGGAGGCCAATACCGACTCTGCTGGTGCTCAGCGGCCACAGGCTCTGCTTGTTCATCTGTAACAGAGCACCTGGTGGATTTTGGGAAGCTACGTGTACTTGGACCTTTCCCCCTCCAGCAGCAACGGACCTGTGTGAGTGGCCAGACCTGCATCTTCTCTTTGCAAGTTTGGGACGCTTCAGCACAAGACAGCCTGCTGTTGCTGGACACCTGTGGCTTGGACAGTTCCATCCCCAAGGTACAGTCTACGCGGGGACATTGTGGAAAAGCTTCCGTTGTAGGCACGGTGCCACTTCAGGATTTCAATGTTCTCCTGGACACAACTGCTGCAAGCGCATCGGCATGCCGTGTGCTGTGCGATGCAAATGTTGACCATTCTCGTAATGCGTCCTGTGTTGCTGCCATGTACAAGGATTCACTAAGCAACATGAGCACATCCGCAGACTCCCGTGCGGTTGGCTTCTGCCAGCTTTACTCGATTTGTTCACTAGTGTCTGACGAATCCTCAGATTATGTGGTGCTCACGCTTCCGCAGGCAAACAGAGAACAGAATTCACCTCTGCCTTCAATGCTCCAGCTCGGAAACGTGTCACTCTCTGGTGGAGCCCAGATAGCCATCGCGAGCTGGGACGAGCTCGTGTTTTCCAGTGCAGGTGGAAATTTCCGCTTGTGTTGGTGTGCAGGTGGTCAGGTGTGCCAGACCCCGGCAGATTTTGCACTGGATGCTGGCTCCTTTACGCTGATTGGACCCTTTGAGCTTGACAGCAGCCGCACCTGCATGAGTGGAGTTAGCTGTGTCGTGGACGGCGTAGTGGGTGTAGGCTTATCAGACGGAGATCGTCTTCTTGTGCAGGACACCTGCGGTGCTTCAGTCTCAGGCGCGCAATTGCACTTCTTGGCAGCCAACAGCACGGAAATCAGCCGCAGGGCAGTTTCCTCCAACAATGGTAGCATCCAAGTCCTAAGCCTGCCCGGTGGTCAGTACAGATTGTGTTGGTGTGCAGATGGCTTTCCTTGTGTTGCAGGTCAGGTGGACATCGGTGAACTTGTTGTGAGAGGTCCTAAGCCGGGCCAGCATCGCACTTGCATCGCAGGTCAGGTGTGTGAGATTCCAGCTCTGCTGGGTCAGGCCCTGGATATACGTGACGGCCTGTTTGTGCTGGACACCTGTTCAAGGCCTGGCAATCTGTTGCCCACCATACAGAACTTCCCTGATGCTGGCAAGCTGCTGGTAACCAGAACCATGCATGACGCTTCCTGGGCATCTTCTTTTGTAGTGTCAGCAGCTGGGGGTGACTATCGCCTGTGCTGGTGCGCGACCTCGGATTGTGTTTCGGAGGACTTGCAAGCTCATTTCATTGATGCGGGCACTTTGCACTTGCTTGGACCCAGTGTGCTTGGTGTGGCGAAGACCTGCGTTTCTGGTCGGGCCTGCGCCATTCGGTACTCTGGCAACGACTTCTTCCAGACAGCGCACGGTTTCAGTGTGGGAGATACTCTCCGGGTTTCAAGCACATGCGGTGAGGCATCACATATCCCTGGGTTCGGTGATGGAACGGCAATTGATGTGACTGCCTCCGGTGCCCTCTTCTCCTGGGGCAGCGACGCTATCTCGTCTGCTGCGGGAAGCTTCCGCCTGTGTTGGTGCGCTGCAGGCTTTGCTTGTGCAGGAGGCGAGAGCTTTCAAGTTGACGTTGGCAGGCTTCTGGTCCTCGGGCCTCCTTCGCTCACGATGGAGCGGACTTGCGTCAGCGGCCTCACGTGCAGCTTCTCCTTGGAACCAGACTTTGACGAAACCAGTGGCCAGATCATGCTGTTGAGCACATGCAGCCCAGATCCCGAACAGGGTAGCCCGCCGCTGCGACCAGCCATCGCTGGATTACCTGGGGATGAGATCAATGCAACCAACGAGTCAAGCCGATATGAGGTGATACATTGGGGCATGGATCAGTTTACCGGCCATGGTGGCCAGTTCCGCCTCTGTTGGTGTGGTGCATCTCGTTGTGGCTTGGTCGACAGTTTCCTTGTGGACATCGGCTCGTTCACGTTGATTGGCCCTGCCCCTTTGACACAAGACCGGACGTGTGTCAGCGGGCATCCTTGCACTATTGAAGGCTTACAAGGTCAGCACCTGTCTGCTTTTGACCACATTATGCTTCTAGAGACGTGCGCTGTTGCGCAGGGCCTTGCCCACGTGTTTACATCTGATATGTCCAACTCCAGCCTCAGCAGGGATGGCCTGACCGCAAAGTGGGTCTTGGAGAAGATTTCTTTTGCCGGTGGGCAATATCGAATCTGCTGGTGTTCTTCTGTAGGCCCATGCTCCACAGCATCGGATTTCAGTGTCGATGCTGGCAGCTTGCTCATCATTGGACCATCACCGCTGGACCAGAGGAGGACATGCATCAGTGGAGATCGCTGCCCTGGTTTCTACATTCATGGCCAAGATCTGTCGCAGAATGGCACTGTGCGAATTCTTGATACATGCGGCATCGACACAACGTCAGAAGGGTGGCCTCAGGCAAACACAGTTTCTCTCGGAGACCCTTCTACCATCCTGCTTGAGTTTGGAAAGCCAATTGCGGCTGCGGCTGGAGCGTACCGTCTCTGCTGGTGTCAGCCGTTGCAACACGAATTTGAGAACTCTACCACGTTCTGTGCTTTGCATTCCCAGCACATCGTCGACTTTGGCCAAGTTACCCTACTAGGGCCAGCTCTTTTGCAGCACCGCACATGTGTGGCCGGCCAGCGCTGCGTGCTTGAAGACCTCCACCTGGGCGCAAGTGTTGTGATGCCACAAGACACCGTGATGGTTCTGGACACTTGCGCCCATATCTCACCTATTGCTGGATGGCCTGAAGGTGGTGTTTTCTCAAGCCTGGAAGCCAGCGGCGCCCGGCTGAGCTTTGGTGCATCCACTGTCACAGCAGCAGCTGGATATTATCGACTTTGCTGGTGCGCAGACGGTCAGTGCAGGGATGGCGGCGAGGCCTTTGTGACTATTGGGGAGATGTTCTTCCTTGGGCCGCTGCCCTTGCAACAGGACAGGACATGCCTTAGTGGACAGATCTGTGACCTGGGAAACATTCTTGGACTGGGACTGGATCCCTACAAAATGTCCAGTGTGTCGGGGTTCCAGTTCTTGCAAGACCGTACCACAGGCCAGTATGATGTCAAGGACTACTTTGTGGAGGTCTCCTATGACTTTGCAGCTTCAAATCCATCCGCGGCCACCTGGACGGCGGTTGCATCGTGCGCTGCGGAACAGGAGGTCACATGGCAGAACTGCACGTGGCCATCGACTTCTGCACCTTTTTGGCGCTGGCGCATCACACAAACCTGGGGATTGAGTACAGACCCTCCAAAGCCTCGGGAAGTGCAGTTTCTCAGCTATGCACAAGACCGATTGGCTTCGTACGCAAGCTTCACACGGTGGCCTTCTGATTTCTCCGAGTCCTGGATTGTCGCTGCAAGTGCGACTGGAACTCCACATCAAGACTTGTCGAACCCTCTCAGCCCAATAGTTTATGGACCGGAGAATCTGATGGATGGAGATCTGACAGACGACTCGCGCTGGTGGCCAACAGGTGGTAGCACTGAATGGTCGGTTGTTTTTGACCTGCGGCAGACAGATAGCCTTGCCATTTTAGACACCTGCGCAGTGGCTTTTGCACCCCATCCTCATGGTTCCGTGACAGCACTTACAAACCCAGCATCCTTTCCAACTTACGGAAGTACACTGCTGACAGCTGCTGGTGGCATGTACAGGTTGTGCTGGTGTAGCCGTGGCTTTGACTGCAGCTTGCCCACTGCATTCGCAGTTGACGTAGGGGCACTTTGGATGCAAGGCCCAGAACCATTGTCACAGCACCGGACGTGTGTGTCAGGTCAGCCATGTGTAATTGAAGATATCAACGTACAGGGTGCATCGGGCGTGCTTCAAGTTCTGGACACTTGTGGTCAGGGCTTTGCATATTCTCAGCTATACGGATGGTCAGGCACCTTCACGCAGTGGAATGAGACAGGGACGGTGCTACCAAGGCTCTTGCTGGACACGGGCTTTCTGACCACAGCGGGTGGTTTGTATCGTTTGTGCTGGTGTGCTTCACTTGCAACATGCGATCATCCAGATGATGTGCGGGTGGATGTTGGCTCATTCGATGTTGTGGGTGTGAGCCCGCTCCAGCAGGATCGAACTTGTGTAAGTGGCCAGACATGTTCTTTCGACGGGGTCACGGGCCGCTACCTGAGCTCATCGGATCAGCTTCTCATTTTGGATACCTGCGGTCAAGCAGTACCCTCGGAGTTCCTCCCGAGCATTTCCCTGGCAGTATCAATTTCTGATCCAACGGCCTCCTGGTCGGATCGGACTCTAAAAGCCACCACAACACCCGCTCTTGTCATCGGCCAGGGGGCAGAGTACAGGATTTGCTGGTGCGGAGGCGGATTCGAATGCACTTCAACTCAAGATTTTCGCACAGACGTAGGGCGCTTCAGCATCGTTGGACCGTATCAGCGGCAGTCTCGGACCTGTGTTAGTGGGCAGCAATGCAGTCTGGGCGGAATACAAGGAAACCTCCTATCACCCTCGGACGGCCTGCTTGTTCTCGACACTTGCGGAGTTCAGGTCTCAATCCCACGCCTACCCAACGCGGGTCGCATGGAGGTATCCCTGACATGCCAGTGTGCTGCAGCAACTGGTGACTCTGACATGGATGGCGTACCAGATTGCTTGGACGAGTGCCCCTTCGATTCAAACAGGACAACGGTAGGCGTTTGCGGATGCGGTGTTGATGATGTCGACTCCGACCTCGATGGCGTGCCTGACTGTTTGGATCATTGCCCGCAAGATCCAACCAAGTCCAAGTCAGCTGGATTGTGTGGATGCAATGTGCCAGAGACAGACTCAGACCTGGACGGCACCCCAGACTGCCTGGATCTTTGTCCACTTGATGCAAATAAGCAGAGGCCTGGTATTTGCCCAGGCCCAGAGTGGCTGGCCATGCAGAGCATGTCCACACACCAGTCTTCCACGCAACTCAGTAGAATGTCTCACCTTGCCGTCGATGCCTCAACGAGCGCAAATTTCTTCCATGGCAGCTGCACCCTCACGAACGCCGAAAGTAACCCATGGTGGTACGTGGACTTAGGCTATCTTTTCGATGTGGAGATGTTGAGGATTACGCCAAGAACAGACTGCTGCGACACCAGTCTCGTAGGTGTGGAGGTCTGGACAACGCCCATCAGCACCTGATCAGCATTGTGCTTACCGGCTTTTTGTTTCTCACGACGGAGCTCTTTTGATTTAGGATTTAGGGCGGGATGAAAGCTTCTTAGGCTACATAGAGGGTTTGTCACTGATTTGTTTGAGGCGCCCTGGCGTACAGCGATGGGGTGAAATGTGCGACCATCACGATACAACCCCCTCTTCCAGCTCTTGGTGAAGAGGCGCCGGTCATCGACGTACCTTGCCAGGCGCAAGGCCAGTTGATCTGGTTGGTGCTTCCGGGAACTGTAGAGCTCTCCCTTTGTGATGTTAAAGTCTTTGCTGAACCGGCTGTCAGCAACTCATCGATTTTCCCGGGAATCAGTGGGACGCATTACGAATCTACCAGCAACTGTTTGATTTCCGGCCTGGGCAGCGCCTGTGGCTGTGGGCTATTGGACACAGACACGGATGGTGATGGTGTGCCGGACTGCATCGATCAGTGCCCCAACGATCCCTTGAAGTCTCTTCTGGGAGTATGCGGCTGTGGTGAACCTGAGGATGATTCGGATGTGGATGGCGTGCTTGACTGCGTCGACCAGTGCCCCCAGGATCCATTGAAAACCAGAGTCGGTATCTGTGGCTGCGGGGTGCCTGATACTGACGATGACTCGGATGGTACTCCAAACTGCAATGATAACTGCCACGGGCTGCAAGACTCGCTAGGTCCTGGAAGTATTCCCTGTGGCTTCATCACAGGCCTCGACTCTGATAATGATGGCACGCTTGACTATCAGGACTTCTGCCCATATGCAACTCGGCCTAGATCCTTACTTAGTCTGTTATCTTGATTGGCGACTGCCTGGCAGGCCCCGAGCGTCACCTCCCTGACACCGGCACAAGCCAAACTCCCTTCTGTCACCCCTAAAACATCCTAAAACCACAACACCCCTCACCGAGGGCTCTCTTGAACAAACTCAGGATCCATCGAAGACCAGTCCTGGTCAGTGTGGCTGCCAAGTTGTTGATGCCGATGGAAGCCCCACGGCCATCATCACCATCAACACAGGCTGGTGGGCTGATTCCGCTTGGATTCCGTGTGTTCTAAGCCTCTGAACCAACTTTGCAGAAACTTCATCCGTTCGACAGGCCTTACAGAGCTAGATTCTGACGCAGATGGTGTGGCAGATTGCCTGGATCAGTGCCCCAGCGATGCCGCCAAGACCGTGCTCGGAGCCTGTGGCTGCGGGTGTCATGGTGGCAAGGAGACAGGCCAATTCTTGCCCACTCAAATTATGATTTCAGTTAATGTGCCTCCAACTCTCAGATGGATTGTCGGAAGAGTTTACCGGTGTGTGGTGTTGGACTTGTTGTGAGCAAAGTAGCGTTCTTGCGCCGGCCGGTTCGCTAGTCTACCGCTGCACGACATGATGCCGTTCCAGCAAGATCTGCAATCTCAGCCGACCAGTCATGTCAAACCCAGGTTTAGGCTAATGACTTGAAGACCTGAAGACACAGGCGCAAAGTACGGCAACGAAATACATTACAGATGCAGGTTGTGCTGAGGCAAGGCTTTGGCCCAGCCTGAAAGCCACAACTCATTCACCGTTGTTTTATGGGCGGGGGCTTCTGCAAGTAAAGGCTTATTTAGGAACTCAGTTTGGGTTCAGCAGCAGGAAGACAGACAGCAAAACCTGTGCAAAGCTTGCCCAGAATGCCTGGTCTATGTCTTGCTTAAACTAGCTAGATGCTCATCTTGTACCGGCTGCCCCTACCAAGGCTGCCAGACACGGACACAGACCTCGATGGCGTGCCAGATTGCATTGACCAGTGCCCAAACGACGCCAACAAAGTCTTGATAGGGGCATGCGGCTGTGGCTTGCCGGATGTGGACTCTGACAATGACGGTATGCCAGATTGTTTAGATCGTTGTCCAAACAATGCAAATGTCAATGCTATTAGCGCTTGTGGTTGTGACGACACGGACAATGACGGGGATGGCGTATTTGATTGTGTAGACCCATGTTCTCAGGATGCGCAGAAGACGACAGCCGGGCGGTGCGGTTGCGGCGTAGCAGACACAGACAGTGATGGAGATGGTGTACCAGACTGCTATGATGCCTGCCCCGGTGCTCCTGATGTTGCACGAGACGGCCTCAACCCAAGTTTCGATAGCTTTGTTACCTCTGCAGGAGGCACATACAGCCTGTGCTGGTGTTCAGCTGGCTTTGACTGTTCCACCCAAGAGGCTTTCATCGTTAGTGTGGGCTCGCTTACAATCATTGGGCCGTCTCCATTGTTTCAGCATCGGACCTGTGTTGCAGGCCAGGCTTGCCATGTCAATAGCCTGGAAGGTACTTACCTCCATGCGCAGGATCAAGTTGCCGTTCTTGCTACCTGCGGCTTGCTGGCAGAGGTCGCCGGCATGCCAAACAGTGGCTGGTTCACTTCAAACCTCACGGTGCAAGGCCTTGGCTTTGAAGGTACAAGAGTCACAGGACAGGGTGGACAGTATCGCTTATGCTGGTGTGCCTTTGACCAAGGCTGCACAAAACCAGAGCAATTCCGGGTTGATCTTGGCCAGTTCCAGGTCATGGGGCCAGCGCCCTTGGAGCAAGGCTGGACTTGCATCAATGGCCAAACATGCAGCTTGGACTCTGTGACCGGGGTAGACTTGGCGGAATATGACCGGGTGGTTGTGATGGAGACCTGCATGGTAAACCAGGTGGGGCGCTACCCATGGACGGTGCTGCCACTGGCAGCCACAGCCAGCGGGACATCCTACCAATTTGCACCCGAGCTTCTTACAGCAGGTCAGTATCGTCTTTGCTGGTGTGCAACAGGCATGAGCTGCAGCACTTTCGAGGACTTTGCGATTGACGTTGGAACTCTGAACTTGGTAGGGCCATCGCCATTGCAGCAAGACCGAACATGTGTGGCGGGACAGACCTGCAACTTTGAAGGCTTCTCTTCTTTCGGAGATGCTGGCATGGGCACAATCTGGATCTTGAGCACCTGTGGTAGTGACGGCGATCAGGTGGAACGTCTGCCACAAGGGGGGCAGCTCATTGGCCGGGCCCCGAGACCATCCTGGGGTTGCAGCGCATCCGCAGAGGATACTGACGGAGATGGTCAGCCAGATTATTTGGACTCATGTCCGCTGGATGCCCTGCAGAATGTAGCTGGCCAGTGTGGATGTGGGGTGATTGACATGGATTCTGATGCTGACGGCACTCTGGACTGTTTTGATGCATGTCCAAGTGATCCAGCAAAAACATCTCCTGGTACATGCGGCTGCGGGACCAGCGAGGTTGATTCAGATTTGGATGGAACGCCGGATTGTTTGGATCGGTGCCCAGCAGACATATCCAAAGTAGTTCCTGGAATCTGTGGCTGCGGGCTTGCTGACACAGATGACAGCGACGGCGACGGTGTGCCAGATTGTGTCGATGAGTGTCCAGGCCTCCCAGACCAGACCCCACCTGTTTGTGGCTGTGTGGCCGCCAGCGCCGATGATGACGCTGACGGGACGAACAACTGCTTTGATGGCTGCCCACTGGACCCAGCTAAGAGTGCCCCAGGCGCGTGCGGCTGCGGTGTGGCAGACACAGATTCGGATGCTGACGGAACTCCAGACTGCATCGATGGCTGTCCGTCGGATGGTGCAAAGACAGCTCCAGGTCAGTGTGGATGCGGAACTGCTGATACTGACAGCGATTCAGACCTCGTTGCAGACTGCAACGATCTCTGCCCTTCTGATAGCAGCAAGATCATTCCTGGGAAATGCGGATGTGGCATGACAGATGTCGACTCCGACAACGATGGTGTACCTGATTGCCACGACAGGTGCCCGGGCTTGCCTGATTATCGGCCGGCAGAGCCTGTATCGGCATACACCTTCGGAAGTTCAAGAGTGTCCAGTGCTGGAGGACTTTATCGTCTATGCTGGTGTTCACCTCATGTGGATTGTCAGTCTCAAGACAAATTTGCAGTCGACGTGGGTTCATTAACCATTGTAGGACCAAGCCTTTACCAGCAGCGCACATGCGTAAGTGGCAGAAGATGCCGTTTTGGCGGTATGGATGGCATCTTCCTGGCAGCAGATGACCACGTCCTAGTGCTTGACACATGTTCCCTCTTGCCAGAGATGGAGCTCAACATATCCGTCTGGCCCCATTTGGAGCTGGAGCTCAGCAGATACAACAGCTCGGGTCTGGCTGCTTTCAGATCAGCCGGGGCATTGCAGCTGGCAGGAGGCAGCTATCACTTATGCTGGTGCGCAGGCAGCTTTGCTTGCGCCAGTTTAGCTGAGTTCAGTGTTGACTTTGGCAGCATCACGGTCATTGGTCCGAGGCCGCTGCATGAGCAGCACGCGACTTGCTTCACAGGACATACCTGCGAGATACAGGAGATATCGGGCAACTACTTCGGTGATGGTGATGGGCTCATGTTGCTTGAGACATGTGGCCTGGCAGACAGCATGGACAATCCCAGCCTGACATCGTTTCAAACGTTCCTGGACGCACCGAGCTCTGTTGGTGCCTTTGGGGAGGGTGCGTCGACGTTGTCAGCCTTGTCGTCAATAACGAGTTCGGCAGGAGGCATTTATCGCTTGTGCTGGTGTGCGAATGTGACGGTGGATGCAACACCTTCAGAGTGTGGTGCCGATTTAGGCGCACTTTATCTCCTGGGGCCCAGGCCTCTTCAACAGGACAGGACCTGCGTTGCTGGGTCGTCTTGTTTATTGAACGGTATCACTGGGATCGAGCTCTCAGCTGGTGACCAACTGCTGGTGCTGAGCACCTGCAATCTGGACTTGTCGCAGAAGCGAGCAGAGACCGAGTACTTCGTGTCAGTCTCGGGCGCATGGCAGGTGGCCAGGGGAGGCTCTGCCTTTATGCTGGCCACGGATGTCACCCGTCCCAGTGGTGGCAGTTACAGGCTATGTTGGTGTGCCACGCCGTGTACCACGCTATCACATTACTCTGTGGACTTTGGAGAGCTGACGGTGCAAGGGCCAATAGCCTTGAGGCAACAGCATCGGACCTGCATCTCCGGACAGGTCTGTGCTTTGAGTCCGATTGAAGGGTGGTTTTTAACTGCCGCAGACAGCTATCTACTCCTCGACACTTGTGGAGACAACGTGATCGTCCCTGGTATGCCAGACTCAGGCGGCTTCACCAGCTCGGCACTTTCCGCTCCTGGAGGTGTGAATTCTGCAAGGACATTCGTAAGTCTGTCGCTTGCCAAAGTTTCAGCAGCTGGAGGCCTCTACCGAATCTGCTGGTGCGCTGGTGTTGCATCATGTCATGACACAGCAAGCTTTGATGTGGACGTAGGCCAGATACAAATCATGGGTCCACAGCCACTTGAGCAAGACCGGACTTGTGTCTCTGGACAGCCCTGCTTGCTAGATGGCCTCAGCGGGGTTGCGCTTCATGCTGCCGATCGGTATTTCATTCTGGACACATGTGGATCATCACCCGCCCCACCAAGATTTGCAGGTGCCGGAGTTGATGAGTTCAACTCATCGCTTCGCTTGAGCGAATCCACCGTTTCTTGGGGGTCGGTACCCGTGACCGCGCAAGGAGGCTTGTACCGCATCTGTTGGTGTGCAGCAGGCCAGGTCTGTAGTGCTGCTGAAGATTTTGCCATAGACATGGGCCGCCTGACTTTGATTGGGCCGGTGCCACTCGCAACCGGGGCCACATGTGTGGCAGGCCGTACATGCTCGATCACTGGCATCTCGGGCGAGTTTCTGAGTACAGGCGATATGGGGATCCTACTCGATACGTGTGGGCTACCAGCAACAACATTTGGCTTGGATACCATCCCAAGCACAGGCATCTCCATGACCTATGATGGGACTGGCCTTCGGTTTGAGGGTAGCGGCCCTGTAGCCATCCCTCTGACAGTCCCTGGCGGGGAGTACCGGATCTGTTGGTGTGCCAATGGCTTTGACTGCTTGCTGGCGGAGAACTTTGTTTCAGACATCGGCCAGCTCACCGTGATTGGACCAAGTCCACTGGACCAGCACCGCACGTGCGTGGCAGGCTGGGCAACATGCATAGAATGCAAACCCAACATACTGTGTAGTAGTTTCCATCTTATTTTCCATTATCCCTACATAACTCCAATAGAATCCCAATATACTATATACTAGGTAGTTTCCATCTAACGCCAGGTCATCAGTGCAAGGTGGACATTTCTGGCATTCAGCTGAGCTCCTCGGCCAATTCTGGGCTGTCTATGGGGTTATATTGGGGTAATATCACGTGCATGGGAGTTTCTCAAGTTTATCCTTCTAATCACTTGTAGGGATCCCCTTATATTAATGTCCTTTTGTGCCATACATTTATCGGGTCCTCAGGGGCCCGGCTATCTTCAAAAACTCCCGCATACAGGCCAAGGATCTGTGTAACCTCATGTGCAGAACAAGACATTGCTTTATACTATGACCTGCCATACACAAAGAGACCTTGGTCCCAAATACATTCCCTAATAAGGACCCATGTCGATTAATTATTATGGGGATTGACTCTAGCTCATATAACATATTCCCGAATGCTTCCGAGCTGTTCCCAACGTATGGAGCGATTGCAGAGATGGGTCAAGGAGACTTAGTAAGTAGGCTAAGAACACCTGTAACCCATATAGTAACCTCATTTATTCCCATTCTTGACCGGTTTACTGGGTCCCCTTGACCCCCCTGAACCCTAAACCCTAAACCGTGTAGACTTCCTGATTGAAATGTTGTAGAAACTCTGAGAATTGCTTCAGGTTTTACACGCATTATAGGTAAAGTTGGGAGTCAGGCCCCACAAAACTAATAGTGAGCATAAGAGATAATGATAATCATATTAGGGCCTCTACATATTCCTAGTATATCATTAGAGAGTGGGGGCCTGACCCAAAGGATAGGTACTGTCAGTTTAGGGGTTTAAGGGTTTGGGGTTTAGGGTATTGACTTAGCTGACTTCAACTGGTCCGGCTGACGATCAAGGACCCGGGCCTAGTCCCCCCAGTGTAACTAGTCACACCGTTTCCGCGTCAGTTTCAATTTTCTGTCCATTAAATTCTCCACCATTGGAGTAGCATCCCTACAGAACCCCCATAGAACCCCAATATAACCCCCATAGAACCCGTATAGAACTGCTATAGAACCCACATAGAACCCCTACAGCACCCCTATAGCAGCCCCATAGTAGTCCTATAATAGTAGTTTCCGTTTTCTTTTCCATTGTCCCTATATAACCCCTATATACTATATAGTAGTTTCCATTTTCTTTTCCATTATCCCTATATAACCCCAATATAGCCCTAATATAACCCCTATATAATCACAGTTTTCATTTCATTTTCCATTTCATGTTCGATTTTCTTTTCCATTTGATTCTCCATTATTGGGGTCCCTCCCCAATATATATCCCCAATATACTGTATACCTTATATAACCCCTAAACCCCAAACCCCTAAACCCTAAACCATAGAACCCCTATAGAACCCGAACATCAGCTGATATAAAAGCCAAGGTTCAGCCGATGTTGCCATGGTCCTGGACACATGCGGTACCTCCGAGGTCGGTTTAGGGTTTAGGGGTTTAGGGTTTAGGGGTTTAGGGTTTAGGGGTTTAGGGTTTAGGGTAGGGGGGGAGGGGGTAACGGCTTGGTGCACCTCATAACAGGGGTAGGTTTGAAAATAATTTGTAGTTTTTGTTGCTTTGAACCCCTATATAATCCTTGTGTAGCCATAAGATTTTTTTTTACTAGGGCCCCCAAGGGACCCTAGATACGCCGTGATGTTTGTGGCGAATACCTGAAGATATTTCTGTGCCTCATGCACTAGTCACTAGCGGCCTCAATCCTCCACTCCTGCGCTCCAGGACTTTGGTGTGATGATACCCCGCTTCCCCGTGACTTCGCCTATTCTGGCTGAAGAGGCATCTGTTGGAATCACAACATCCATTTTGGTGGAATGGAATTACACAGTGACATCGTACGGCGGGCAGTTCCGCCTATGCTGGTGCACGGGTAGTCCATGTGAACTTGTCGAGCACTTTGCAGTGGATCTGGGGATGTTCTTTCTGCTGGGCCCTGCCATTCAGAATGACCAGGACAGAACATGCCTTGCGGGACAGACTTGCACCATTGATGACTTCAGCGGTGCTTTCCAAATCAGCGACACAATCATGATTTTGGACACTTGCGGTGTCATGAGCTGGCCTTCAGGCTTGCCTTCAGATGGCAGGCTTTTAGTGTCGGCTAGCGGTAGCAAAGCTTCCTTTGGCAGCGTTCCACTTTCTGCTCAAGGCGGAGAGTACCGGCTTTGCTGGTGCGAGGGAGACTGTCAGGTGGCGGCTACTGACATTGGCCGGCTAAGTGTCTATGGTCCACGACCGCTGTACCAAGACCGGACTTGTGTGTCAGGCCAGGAGTGTGTCGCTGATGGCCTGCGTGGTTATGGCTTCAGCTCAGCAGACAGCTGGGCTGTCCTCGATACATGTGGGGTCTCCGTTGTGAATCGCTTCGTCAATGCTGGCATGTTCTCATCGATCACGGCCAGTGGAACTGTTATTTCTTTCGGCGCTCTCGTTTCTACAGCTGGCGGTGGTTTCTATCGACTCTGTTGGTGCGCTGCTGGAGCAATATGCAACACCGCAGAGCATTACAAGGTGGATGTAGGAAGCTTCGTGCTTATAGGGCCAGCAAGCGAGTCGAGCGAGTCGATTAGAACATGCTTCAGCGGCCAGACGTGCAGCATGACAACCCCTTTCGGGACACTGCTTTCTGCAGAGGATTCCTATATGATTTTGGATACCTGTGGCATTCCTGGCATCATTCAGGGGTTGCCAGACGCCGGCTTTCTCTCTCTCCTCCCTGCTGCTGAAGACAACACAACTTGTGTTGGGGGTGTGTGTGAGCTGACTTTCGGCACAACACTTGTCACGGCTGCTGGTGGCCGGTACCGGCTGTGCTGGTGTGCAGCGGGCCATGCCTGCAGCACTGAGGAAGACTTCAAAGCGACCGTGGGTCACTTTGAGCTCGTTGGCCCTTTCAGCTTGCCTCTCGGGAGAACCTGTATTGCTGGACAAACTTGCTTGGTGGATGGGATTGCAGGTAATGGCCTGGTAGACCTGGACTCCCTGGCGCTCTTGGACACGTGCGGCATGCGCAACATCATCGCCCAGACGCCCACCACAGCTCATAGTTCCGGAGCATCCTACATCTTTACGCAGCCTGTCACCGCTGCTGGAGGCACGGGTCGAATCCAATCAGCTTTGGATTCCTAGTGCTGTGCTTGTTGTGTATCCGTAGTTCTAAAGTATATCTACAAGAGTGCGACGTGATGTTTCAAGAATCTCTGAGGCACCTACCAACTTTGCTGGGCTTCCGCCACGTCTGTTTCCGACGGCAGTTCAAGCTATACTGTGCAGGGCTTACTGATGCATAGACCGTGTCTTGTACTCGCACGAAGCCGCTGCTTTTGTTTTCATATCCCTCTTGACAATCTTAGGTCACATTGGGCAGCATGACCCTTATTGGACCAGCACCGCAGTCACAGGACAGGACCTGCGTCAGTGGGCAGACTTGTAGATTCGAGGGTCTGCGTGGCACCCATCTGCAAGATGGCGACCGATTTATGGCTCTGGAGACCTGCGGAGTGTCATCTTTCATTCCCGGGTTTGGCTGGACCGGAGAGGCCGTGAATGTCTTGAGCAGCGGCTCTTCAGTTACATGGGGTACGACTGCCGTCACAGCTGTTGGAGGTAGATACAGCTTGTGCTGGTGTGGGCAGCGTCCTGCCTTGGGCACCCTGACATCGGTACAGGCAACTGATGCGGCGTGCGGGCTCTCAACAGACTTCAAAGTGTATGTGGGTGAGCTGACCTTGATTGGACCTGTGCAGGCAGCAGCTTACATAGCGACGTCAACAGCCCAGTCATGGGGCACACTAGATTTGCAAGAGCGGCCAAAACTGAATCCAGAAATTGGAGCTTTCCAAAGACGCGAGTGTGTAGCTGGAGAATTGTGCGAGCTCACAGGCATCCGCGGCCTTCACATCAGTAGTTCTGACTCCTTTATGATCTTGGACACATGTGGACAGGCAACAGCAATTGATCGGCTACCTGGAACTGGCATGCCTGACCTTGTGAACAGCGAGGGGCAAGCAGATGCTTGGAACTTGCCACAGTCACTGCAGCGCCAGCAGCTCAACATGGTAACGCTCAATTTCACAACGCCCCTAACTGCTGCTGGCGGGCAGTACCGCATATGTTGGTGTTCGGAAGTTGCAGACTGCTCAACATCTGACCAGCTGCGAGTGGATGTGGGTGAGTTTGTTCTTCATGGTCCACAGCTGGGGCAGTCCAGAACTTGCTCCTCATCACAGAACTGCTGGATCCAGGATGTTCTGGGATACAGTCTGGACATTGAAGACCGCTTGATGATCCTAGACACCTGCGGTGTGGCACATGAGGGAGAGATGAATTTCTCAGATGGCCATGGATGGCCGATGTTGGGTCTCATGATGGCTCATTCGCTACATGGGGTGTTGAAGGATTCCTCGGGAAACACCATATCAACCGTGCCAGAAGCAATCATGAGCAAATTCGACTTTGCTGGACTTCATGTTACAGCTTCCGGAGGACAGTACCGTCTGTGCTGGTGTTCTGGTAGCTCCGACTGCAACGATGGGCCGGAGAGCTTCCTTCAAGATCTGGGGCTTGTCCAACTTCAAGGCCCTTCGCCACTCCAACAAGACCGAACATGCATGAGTGGACAGATGTGCCGGCTCAAGGGCATTGTGGGCGAAAGCCTTACGCAACAGGACCTGATTATGGTCAGGGATACCTGCGGCCTCCCGTCCACAAGCCAAGCATCTTTGATTGACCGCTTCCCCAATGACGGCATTGTGAACAGCGTGGCGACAAGTGGCCAGACTTTCACCTGGCTGCAGGATTCCTCTTCACTTTTCGTCCCAATCTCATCAGCCAGTGGTGTCTACCGCCTTTGCTGGTGTAGGCCTTATGGCTTAACAGAAGTTTTTGAGGGTGAGCGCGTCAGCTGCCAGTTTCCGGAGCACTTCAAGACAGACCTTGGCCAGCTGACGCTGCTGGGTCCCTCTCCACTTGCCCAGCACAGGACCTGCGTGAGTGGCATGCCCTGCGTGGTTGCAAACATTACCGGGCTCCACTTGCAGTATGGAGACACGCTTCACATACTCGACACTTGTGGTATTGGGACCGAGGTATCTGGAATCCCTCAGCGTGGCCTGTCTCTGCCAGGCCTAGGCAGCGGAAATCGCTTCTCCTGGGGCGAGGAGCCCTTGACGACGGCTGGCGGTCAATTCCGCATGTGCTGGTGCGCAGCAGGATACCTCTGTAAGTTGCAAGAGCACTTCTCGGTTGATATCGGCGAGCTGACCTTGATTGGGCCCAGTCAGCAAAATCAGGTCTACTGCGCCTCGGGATCCCCGTGCTGGGGTTACATCGTGGGAGTTCACCTTAGCCCAAACGACCAGGTCATGGTTGCGGATGAGTGCGGTGCAGCCGTGGAGCCTTGGCCATCTCCTCGCAGCCGGTATCCGGAGATTCCGGGATTCCCAGAGGGTGGTCGACTACCCCTGCAATCCTACGTAGGCGAGACGTTCCAGTTCAGCTTCTCCAACGAGTTAATCACAGCTGCAGGCAGGAACTGCAGTTGGCTTAGATTTAACTGCAAGGGTTGTTGTCCGGCCCCTTGTTTTTTGTGCGAGCGTCTTGGGCAGGTGGCATCTACAAGCTTTGCTGGTGTGCAGGGGATGTCGAGCCTGATGGCTGTTCCACGTCCCAGGACTTCCAAACGCAGGCCCGTGTGTTCTGTTCCGCATGTAAGCCTTGATTTATCTTGAATTGTCAGTCGGTGCTTTGAATTGCTGCCAAGATGCCCTCCGTAAGTGCAATTAACTGCAATATAGGGGTTATATTGGGATAAAGGAAAATTAAATGGCAACTACTATAATGGTTTTGTTGGGACAAGGGAAACTAACATGGAACCTACTATAACATCTTTGGTCCGGTTGACACATCTCAACTCCGCTGCAGGCAGGCTCCTTCATACTCGTCGGTCCTGCTGAGTATTTAGCAGACTTCTTTATTCCAACCTCTGTGGGCCCACAGCCACCAAAGGAAATTTGGCGCCAAGATGTGCCGGATCCAAGTGTTGTCCAGATCGAGGAGTATGGCGGAAGCCTTGCCATCCACTGCTCCGCGAATTCAGAGCTTGGCGCAGCACGAGGTAATCTGCCAATCTTGTATGTAGATGCACCCCCAGCTGGGCTGTGGGAGGCGCAGGTGACTGTGCGCGTTGCACAGAGCGATATTGCTGCCGGGCTCACTGTCTACGACAGAGATGGGGGCAAGCCTGATCTGCTTTTCGGCTTCGACAGGTTTTCCACCCGAGGCTTCGGTGCATCGGGAGGCGTTGCTGCGCTGCGTTATGGCAGCACTGGCTTATCCGGAACCATTGGCGCCGAAGATCTGGGTTCATTAGCCGTGGAGTGGGTGTCCCTGAAGATTGAACGTACTGGCAACGGTCGGTACGACCTGTGGTACAACTACAAGCTTGGCTCAGCTGTTTGGCTTGCCCCAGATGATGCTGGAGATTCCGACCCAAGCGTCCGGCAAAGGGTCTTTGTCAGAACTGCGGGTGAGCCTGGCGACCGCCTGTTCCTGGAGACTGAGTGGCAGCTGCTCGCGGAGCAGGTCGAGAGTGATTCGGCAGGCCGCCGTATTGGCCTCTACATCATGACTGGAAGTTCTGGCGGAGCTGCCAAGTTTAGGACATTCCTGGTGCGCAACCTTTTCCCACAAAGCGTTGCATCCTACAGCTTGGATGATGGAAGCCTCCGGGAGTCTTTAGAATCTGTGGGCAGCAGTGTCACACAGGCTTCAACGGCTACTGGGCGTGATGGCTACAGTCAAGGAGCACTGCGCTTCAGTGACGGTCGAAGTCTAGAGTTGCCCTTCGACCCGTTGCAGACTGATTCCCTTGCAAACGGATCGTTGCATGAGTTCACGATTTCTCTTTGGATCAAACCTCATTCCTCTTCAGACGGCGGCATTCTCGGTCGGAGGTTGGCGCAGCACTTGCCTGACTTGGAAATATCTCCTTCGATCTCTGTGACGTCCGATGGTAGCGTCGTGTGGTCAATGCAGGATGGACTTGGCCAGAACTACTCACAGCGGTATTACACACCGCAGCAACGACCATACGCACCCGTCCTGCCAAGTTCTGCAAGTACATCACTGACTAATGTTCTTGAGGTGGAAGAGTGGACGCACTTAGCTTTCGTGAAAGAAGCAGATACGGTCATCTTCTACCGGAATGGAAAGCGATGGGGCTTTTCCAGCTTGGCGCCAGACACTCAGAGCAGCTATTACGGCCAGATCTATTTGAACTTCCTGCAGGATCTTCCGTTACATGCCTCTCTGGACGATGTCAGGTTCTATGATGTTGGGCTGTCCGACTTTGCTTTGGAACACCTGTTTGGAAATGCAGACGCAGACACTTTGCGTTCGAAATCGCAGAGGTGTTTTGCGGGGGTTCCTTGCGCACTCACTGGCTTGGTGGGCGAGGGTCTGTCGCATTTGAACAAGTATGCTGTGTTGACGCATTGTGGCCGCAGCCCAGCAGTCCCAGGCATGCCAAACGACGGCATTTCCGACTTCACTGCAAGCAGTCAAGAGATTTTCTGGGGATATGCCTCCCAGGAACCATTGACCGCAGGAGGAGGATATTACAAACTTTGCTGGTGTGGCGGTGGTTCAGCCTGTGCTTCTCCTGAAGACTTCAAGGTGCTGGTCGGAACGCTAGTGGTTGTGGGACCTTATTTGGGGCAGCAGCGCACTTGCACATTGGGCCAAATCGCTGCCTTCGATATCTCTGGCGTAGAGCTGGATGCCGGCGATCAGCTGCAGATCCTTGACACATGTGGTATGAACTTGACAACGGTCGGCATTCCGGGTGGTGCTGTTTCGGACTTGCAGCCTTCTGCCTGTTATGGCCATGTAGGGCTTGGGGTTGTGGATGCCCTGCACGCACATGGTTCTGGCTTGACTGGCAAGACACAAAGCGAATGCTGCGCACTATGCCAGCGCAGCCTCTACTCGGATTGCCTCATTTGGGTGTATAGGCCAAGCGACATGACCTGTTTCTTGTATCGCTCAGTGGCGGGAGTGGAGCGCCAGGCAGACCGTGTTCTAGGTGTTGTCGGTGAGTGGGGCACGGCACCAAATCAAGTTGTGATGGC